CTGAGCGCTCCCAGCCCCAAACCTTGGGGATCTCTCCTGGGGGCCCCACCAAAGGTGGTGGTTCCCCCCCTACCCCGGAGCGGTTTTGGGGGGATGCGCGGAGCCGGAGTGCCCCCCGATGGCCAGCCCGGTGTTAAACATCGCCCCCGAGAATAATTAAGAGGATGAATTATAATCTGCCAACTTTTATTTGCAGATCATTACATCTGTATTTGGTAAAGGCGGCTTTCGACTAGAAAACAGCCCTTGGAGAGCAGACCAGATTGCTTCCGAAAGACACAACAAAGTTTAAAATACTGTCCTGCCGAATTAAAATTGTTCATTGGTTCTCAGCCGATAACACATCTTTAATCTCCAGATTATTTTGAAACGAGACGGCGCAAACAAGCCAAAGGAAAAAAAAAAAATAAACTGCTTGCATCAAACCCTCGGCGTTACGCAGAAAGCTAGTGACCTCCGCTGGCTGCGGCCATCGCTACAGGCCCGGGAGATGCCACACACATCGCCTGCCGCCCCCTCGCACGGAGGGATTCAGCCCTGACTTCTGGTACCTCTTCCCCCAAGTAACCGTATAACCTAACGCGCTCCTTGCTGCTGCAAACCGCTAACTCGTCAAAGGCCAGTTACCTCCGCGCGTGTAAATATTCTCTCGGTAAAGTAAACGAAGCCAGGAAAAAGTAGTTTTATAGCTCACGGCAGAGCGGGATGGTGTTTGCAGGAGAGGAGGAAGCTCTGGCATGCACCGCCGAACAAAAGGGAACAAGTGGTCTTTACTCGGAGAGCAGCTTCCTATTAAGACTCACTCCTTCGTACATTATGCCTTTCATCCCCACTCAACCACAAAATGATTTTGCTGTAGGAAATACAATGGCAGAAAAAGATTTACATTGAAAGAATCTTTAATAATAAACTGTTGCAGATCTGCCTACTTCCCCATGATTTATAATACAATAAACATCGGATTCTATTAAGTCTCATGCACTGAAGACACGCACTGAAAACCCGAATATGAAAGCCCTCAATTCTTCCCGTCTCCAGCACCATAATAGTGAAATGAGCATGGATAAATGTGCTAAGAGTATCTCTTTGCATCTTTTATAGCTTGTGTGTATTAATCTGTAAAGCTTATTAAGAAAGTCATTGCTATGCAAAGCAGCACCCAATCTCTTTCTCTTGCTTTTCAACAGAGCGCAGTGTTTAGCCAATAGGACCGGTCCCCGGCCCCTCATTCCGCATTCATAACATGCAACATTTGCACAATGTATCTCTCAAAGGCTGCTGAATAGAAAGCCTTAATACTCATGTAAACAACTGCAAACCAATTACTTAATGAATCAGGCCCACACATAATGAGGTGCCAGACAAAGAGCTATAAATGCATTTTTGCGCCCGAGCCTCTGCTTTAAAGTAAAATCCCTCAGCTGTAGTTTGGGCTTAACTGGCACATCATAATTATTGTCTGGAGGACATCAGAGGAAGCCATTTTTTTTATTTAGGTCCAGCAGGGTCTTTCACGAGGTCACTCATCAGCTCAGTGACAAAACGGAGCAAAGAATTTATAAAAAGTACCACCGCGGTGCTACACGGTTATGTTTATTCTCAAGTAGTGGGTTTCGAGACCACTTGTAAAAGCAATAAAGCCCGAGAAGTGACTGCACTAAGTGGAGCGCTTAAATGTGAGCGGCCAAGAAACCGCGCCGCGTCCCGGCCGCAAACAAGCGGCCAGCCGCCCCTTCCTTTTCTCCCTCTTTCTCACTGCTTTCCCCGCTCGCCGTCCTCGCGGAGCGGGTGCCAAGTGCCCAAAAGCAAGAGCTGCTCCTAAACTCCGTGTTTCCACGGCTGCCTTATTTGTGACTGCTTTAGAAAAACTAACTTTAAGCTGTTCTAAGAGATTTTTCTTTTTTTTTTTTTTTTTTTTTTTAAAGCAGCAGCATCACGTATCAGCGCATGAGGTGCGCTTGCTTCTCTGTGCTGAATGGCATGGAATTATAGGGCAGAGTGAATGATTTTAAAAATCTATCGCAAATAAGAATTTGAAAAAACCAGCAAAACCCAAACATACGCCATATGAGCAGCATCTGAAAAACGCAGAAGTGGCCAAACGCATTATTAGCGAGCAGTGCAACATCCAAGGGGGAAAAAGCTTGGAGACTCTTTTTAAATAAAAAAATAGTTCATTTTAAACTATATGTATCTTATTCAGATGCTTCACAGTGATCCTGTAAACAACTCCTTCGGGGCCTGATCCTTCCCTTCCTGCTGTTCTGGGCTTCAGTGAATGACTAAAATTTAACATTTAAAAATTCACATACAGGACCACCCTTGCATTTCATAGCGTTAGGCAGTATGATTTGGAACATCGAAGGTCCAGAAAATTTAAAAAGAAAAAAAAAAGAAAAAAGTTTGAGCATAAGACTATAAGAATTAATCCCAAAGAACAGCACGAACGCGATTCATCAACGTTGTATCACGTCTTGGCTTTATTTACTGCACTTGAGGAATCACAGGAACGCTGTGATTTTGACACAACATGCAGAACACCACTCGCAAAACTGGAATCGTCTCGCATCAAAGCTGACCTCATCGATAACAGCATAAAAAGCTGCAGAAGGACAGCCATGCCATGTAAACAGGAGTTAAACGTTTATCA